GCATCAGCATCGAAGGCTGCACTCTCCACCTCTCAAAGCCATCAGGAACCTCGGGGTTCCCCTCGACCCTGAGCTGTCCATTCTCCCTCATATCCGCACCACAACCGGCACCGCCTTCCATCACCTCCGGAAAATGGCCACTACCTCACCCCTCACGCGACTGAAACTCTGGTCCACACCTTTGTCACCTCAAGGCCGGACTATGGGAACTCTCTCCTCTCCGGCCTTCCCGGCCCTCCCTCCACACTGCAGGTCATTCAGAACTCTGCAGCTCCTGTACTGTCCCACACCAGACACCGCGACCACATCACTCCCACCCTCACCCTCACCCTCGCCCTCGCCCTCGCCCTCACCCTCACTCCCACCCTCGCCCTCGCCCTCGCCCTCGCCCTCACCCTCGCCCTCGCCCTCACCCTCACCCTCGCCCTCGCCCTCACCCTCACTCCCACCCTCACCCTCGCCCTCGCCCTCACCCTCACTCCCACCCTCACTCCCACCCTCGCCCTCGCTCGCCTCCACTGCTCCCCATCCCCCAGAGGATCGAATTCAAGATCCTCATCCTCACCTACAAGGCCATTCCCGGCCTCGCTCCCTCCTTCGTGGAGTCCTGTAGCTCAGTGGTTAGAGCACTCGCTTTGCAAGTGAGGGCAAAGCGAGTGCTCTAACCACTGAGGCAGAGGGCGAAACCTCGGGCAAGTTTCCTTACTCCACATAGAGCCTAATAATAAACCCTCCAAAACCAAAATTGGTCATTTTCAATCTACGACTGTTTGTGGGACATTGCTGTGCGCAATTGGCTGCCGCGTTCTCCCACAAATATACAGTCAATTCACTTTACAGTGTGTTCTGTGAAGCGCTTTGGGACGTCCTCCCGACGTGAAAAGCGCTATATCAAATGCAAGGATTATTATTATTATTATTATCTCTCCGACCTACTATCCCCTGATGTACCTGCCCATACCCTCCGTCCCTCTGGCTCCGGTCTGCTCCACATCCCCCGCCCCAACCGCCCGACCATCGGTGGCCTTCAGCCTCTCAGCAAACAGTCGTAGTTTAAATGACCAAAGTTATTGTTTTTTTGAAGAAATTATTAACCCCAGAAAAGTGATCCGCCAATGGACTAAGGACCGGCTTCATACTTACTGCTGATAAACAGAGGTCTGTGGAGTAAGGAAACTTGCACAGTGTTTGCCCGGCCCGGGATTCAAACCCTGGTCCTCTCCCGTGTGAGGTGAGCGCTCTCACCACTGAGCTACAGGGCTCAAGGTTGAAGACGGCAAAACACAAAGGATATGTCCCAGTGCCCCAGGGTGTTCCCGGCACCCCAGGGTGTTCCCGGCACCCCAGGGTGTTCCCGGCACCCCAGGGTGTTCCCGGCACCCCAGGGTGTTCCCGGCGCCCCAGGGTGTTCCCGGCGCCCCAGGGTGTTCCCGGCACCCCAGGGTGTTCCCGGCACCCCAGGGCGTTCCCGGCACCCCAGCGCGATCCCAGCACCCCAGCGCGTTCCCTGCACCCCAGCGCGTTCCCAGCACCCCAGCGCGTTCCCTGCACCCCAGCGCGTACCCTGCACCCCAGCGCGTTCCCAGCACCCCAGGGTGTTCCCAGTACCCAGGGTGTTCCCGGCACCCCAGGGTGTTCCCGGCACCCCAGGGTGTTCCCGGCACCCCAGGGCGTTCCCGGCACCCCAGGGTGTTCCCGGCACCCCAGGGCGTTCCTGGCACCCCAGGGTGTTCCCAGTTTGCTCCAAGTACACCAGCAACACTCCCAGTGGGGTAATGGGTTGTAAGCACAACAAATAGATTACGAGCTCAGGACTGGGATCTCACTGGTCCAACACCACACACTCTTCCTGTAGCCCCACACTCCGCTGTGGGTTGGCTCCAGCTCCCCCCACCCCCACTGCGTAGCATTGCACAGTCCATATGGGGCCCAGATTCACTCCCTGTGTCAAAGGTCCAAGTCAAGTTTGGTTTGGGCTGAGAACAAAGTTCATTAAATAAGGAATAAATAACAAAGCCACTCACTGGGCTCAGTGCAAAGGAACTTTTCATCAGAAAGGACAAAGGGCAATTTTAGCTGCTCCCCAAGAGAGGTTACTGCAGCCCCAGCGCCAATGGCTTGTCAGCCTCAGGGCAAAAGGACACTGTTAGCCCAGGGCTGGGCAGTGCCCACCACACTGTTAGCCCAGGGCTGGGCAGTGCCCACCACACTGTTAGCCCAGGGCTGGGCAGTGCCCACCACACTGTTAGCCCAGGGCTGGGCAGTGCCCACCACACTGTTAGCCCAGGGCTGGGCAGTGCCCACCACACTGTTAGCCCAGGGCTGGGCAGTGCCCACACACTGTTAGCCCAGGGCTGGGCAGTGCCCACCACACTGTTAGCCCAGGGCTGGGCAGTGCCCGCCACACTGTTAGCCCAGGGCTGGGCAGTGCCCACCACACTGTTAGCCCAGGGCTGGGCAGTGCCCGCCACACAGTTAGCCCAGGGCTGGGCAGTGCCCACCACACTGTTAGCCCAGGGATGGGCAGTGCCCACCACACTGTTAGCCCAGGGCTGGAGAGTGCCCACCACACTGTTAGCCCAGGGCTGGGCAGTGCCCACCACAGGGGATTCCCCTATAATCATTAAGAATAGAACAAGAATTTCGGATCCATTCTTTTCAGATAATAATAATAATAATAATAATAATCCTTGCATTTGATATAGCGCTTTTCACGTCGGGAGGACGTCCCAAAGCGCTTCACAGAACACACTGTAAAGTGAATTGACTGTATGTTTGTGGGTGAACGCGGCAGCCAATTGCGCACAGCAATGTCCCACAAACAGTCGTCGATTGAAAATGACCAATTTATTATTGTTTTTGGTTTTGAAGGGATTATTATTAGGCTCTGTGTGGAGTAAGGAAACTTGCCCGAGGTTTCGCCCTCTGCCTGGAATTGAACTCAGGTCTCTCACTTGCAAAGCGAGTGCTCTAACCACTGAGCTACAGGACTACACTATGAGAGCGAGTGGGTGAGAAAGAGAGGACGAGAGCGTGAGAGATGGTGTGCGTGTGTGTGTGTGTGTACGTGACAGGCTGCGTGTCATATATGTTTAATTAAAAATCTTGTTCTATTCTAAATGATTAAAGGGGAATCCCTATATCCCACCACACTGTACGCCCAGTGACGAGCAGGACTGGCACAGTCTTCTTACAGCCTTACTTGATGCTGTTTTATTTGCCAATCTCTGGCTGAGCTGTGATCATATTCTGCCCAGTGTGACTGAAAATGTCTCTGGGTCTCTGGTGTCTATATAGAGCCTTTCACGTCAGGAGGACATCCCAAAGTGTTGGTTGGGCGCCTGAGCTGAAGGGATGAGATCAGACGGCCAAAAGGCCTTTGTTGATCCAAACTAATCTTGTGATCTTGTGATCTTGTGATCGGCACAAAATGTTTAGACTTTTACCCCTTCAATATTCCCTCTTGAAGCAGCTGATTGTCACTGTGTAACAGCGCTGCTCTGACAGACGGTGGGGCTGTTGCTCACTGTAACGTTGATGGAATAATTGAGTGGTGTCATTGGGAATCACAGGGAAACAGTAATTCACATTTGATTTCTAACCCGGAGTTTCTATGTCGATTAATGACATGAAGCCCTTTGTTGGGCAGTCAGGCGGCTGTCATTCACCTCATGGTGTTGGTCCTTCACTTCACGGCTGTTTGTGGGACGTCGCTGAGCCTCAATCAGCTCCCACGTTCGCCTACTAAATACACAGTCACTACACTTTACAGTAACAAATCCTCTGAAGCACTTTGAGATGTTCTCCTCATGTGAAAGAGGCGCTGCCAAGTGCAAGGTTTATGATCACATTATCCACCACTGTTTGTGAGACACTGATTTGCCCAATTGGCTCCAGCGTTTCACCCACAAAACAGTCACTTTACATTATATTCAGTGAAGTACTTTGAGACGTCTCGAGAGCGCTGTATCAAATGCCAGAATTATTACAATTATTATTATCATAAGCATTTTGGAAACTAATTTTAAAATGAAATGAACAAAGATCCAAACGGCTGCGGTGTTGCTGTCCGGCAGCTCACAATGTCCCGGCTCCTGGGCTTTGGGCAAACCCTGTTCTGACTTGAAATGCCCAAACCATTTCATATCACCGACCAGGAACCACACTGCAGTGACTCCCGACCACTCCCTACTTCCTATTTGCTCAATACGTGCAGAGCTGAGAGAAGAGAAAGCTCTACTGACTGACGGAGTGTAACCAGCACCGGCTGCTCAGTGACCGAGTGTAACCAGCACCGGCTGCTCAGTGACTGAGTGACCAGGACACCGGCTGCTCAGTGACTGAGTGACCAGGACACCGGCTGCTCAGTGACTGAGTGACCAGGAGTGTGATTGACCAGGACACAGGCTGCTCCGTGACTGAGTGACCGGGTGCACAGTGACTGAGTGACCAGGACACCGGCTGCTCAGTGACTGAGTGACCAGGACACCGGCTGCTCAGTGACTGAGTGACCAGGACACAGGCTGCTCAGTGACTGAGTGACCAGGACACAGGCTGCTCAGTGACTGAGTGACCAGGACATAGGCTGAGGTCAGGATGCAGACAGCACGACTCGGGGTAGTTGCTCTTTGCTGCTGTGTGTGTGTGGGTGAGTCTCACTTTCTCACTCGCTCTCAGTTGGGAGTTTATTTAAGATGATCTAACGATAGAGACAGGAGAACTTGCTCACCGCGTCCCTACAAGAGATGCCGTCAGTCAGGACGGACTGTGTCGATGTGTATTCAGCCGATGTCTCGCTGTCCTTAATGGGATTTTCTCTCTCTCCAGTTACAGCACAGTTCACCATCACTGTACCAGACAATCCCATTACAGCAGCAGCCGGAGGTACGGCTGTGTTTACAGTGAAACCGTCTGGTGAGGTGAAGACCGGGAGCTGGAGTTTCGGCCGTGTGGTTTTTGTTACTTGGTTTCCAGGAGGAGAAAGCATCGACCCTGGTTACAAAGACCGGATTGTGTTCACAAAGACCTCTGGGTCTCTGCAGCTGAACTCTGTGAATTATACTGACGCTGGAGATTACACTGTGTCCATGTTCTCACCCTCTGACACTCAGGCAACAGCCACAATCACACTGAAGGTGGTGGGTAAGTAACAGTACATTTAACAATAAACTATCTATGTACCTTTCATGTCCCCAGTTATTGTCACTAAGCTTCAGAAGACAATTAAAATGAATATCTTCGCGCAAAATGTTTTATATCCGGACAAATGGATGAGGTGCTCCTGATCTAATGGTTCAATTTCTATTTTTGTTTCTTCTCTCTAAAATTCACTTAACCATTCACTGAAATATAGTTTTTTGGCACACGTGGCCACTTGTAACTCGCATAAGTAGCTATTATTCGTGATTTCATAGCGCGCTCGACTCGCAAGTGAGAGCACTTGGGTTCGATTTCCATACGAGGCAAAATCTTAGGTAAATTTCCTTACTCCACACACATACACACCTCTGTTTAATTGGCAATAAGTAGGAACCCGCTTGTTGGTCGATTGGTGGATCGCTTTTCAGGAATAATAATCCGTCCCTTTCCAAATAAAATTGTACACTCAATCCACGACTGTTTGTAGGACACTGTTGCGTGCAATTGGCTGCTGTGTTTAACCCACAAAATACGCAGTATATTTACTTTACAGTATATTCTGTGAAGCGCTTTGAGATGTCATAACCATGTGATGAGGTGCTGTATCAAATGCAAGGTTTATTATTATTATTATGAGCAAAATGGTAAAACAAAGGACAGTATTTGTCGACCCCAATCTATTGCTCATAGAATAGTATGGAATCATAGAATATTACAGCACAGGAGACCATTCGGCCCACATTGCCCTCATGTTACATTAAATAATAATAATCCTTGCATTTGATATAATGTCTTACCACATCATTAAGAGATTTCAAAGCGCTTAGAATACATTAGAATATACAGCACAGGAACAGGCCATTCGGCCGGACTGGTCTTTGCCGGTGTTTATGCTCCAAATGAGCCTCTTCTGCCCTTCCTCAGCTAAGCCTTCAAGCAGAACCTTCTATTCCTTTCTCCCTCATATACCAATTTGCTTCCCCTTAAATACATCTGTGCTGTTGTCTCAACAAATAGTGCTACATAGGAATTATTGTAAAGTGTATTTGTAGGCCATGTGCTGCCACTTTGGACACAGTAACATCACAAACAGTGTGAATCAAGTGACCAATTTTTTTGGAGGTTTGTTGGCTGCGATATCAGGAGAAATTCCCTTCTCTTTTCAAACAATGCTACGGGATCTTTAACATCCATCTGTACAGACAGAGCAGACTGGAGTGGAGTGTCAGCCCACACCATGAGCTGATGTTGGGCTCTTTGAGGGACAACAATTTGTTCATATCGTGAATCATCACCAAGAATACGAGAGCCAAGAATGTTCATTTACACTCAGGTGGAGTGTATCGTTGCTGATGGGTTTAGTTTTTCCGTAAACTATGGTTATAATTTATGAGAATCAACTTCAACAGACATGAATTTGGAATGAATGTGGAATAAATTATTATAAAAAAAGATCCTTGCATTTGATACAGCGCCTTATCATGCCTTCAAGACATTTCAAAGTGCTTTATAGAATATACTGTGAAGTGTAGTGACTGTGTGTTTTGTAGGCGAAAAGCGGCAGAAAATTGTGCAGAGCGACATCCCACAAACATTTGTGGATTGAGTGACTATATTATTATTATTTATTTTTTGAAGGGATTATTACCCCCAGAAAAGCGATCCACCAATCGACTAACAACCGGGTTCCTACTCACTGCTGATAAACAGAGTCGTGTGTGTGTGTGTGTGTGTGTGTGTGGAGTAAGGAAACTTGCCTACGGTTTCGTCCTGACCGAGAATCAAACCCCGGTCCTCTCGCTTGCGAGACGAATGCTCTAACCACTGAGCTACAGGACTTGAGCAAGAGTTGATTATCACAGTATCATAGAATCATACAGCACAGAAAGAAGCCATTCGGCCCATCGCATCTGTGCCGGCTCCTAAAAGAGCAATCCAGCTCAACCCCACTGGCCCACTTTCTCTCCATAGCCCCGCAATCCTGTCCTCCCCAAATACCCATCTGTTTTCTATGTAGTGACTGTAGCCTCTCCTTAAGCTCAGTGACCCTGAGTTCAAGCTCAAGCAGCCGGAGGCACTTACTACACGTGTTTGTCCAGAACACATGAACCATCCTGGAGATCCCACATGGCACAGAGTTTGCACGGAATGGGTCTGACACATGTGGAAACCCATCACCGTGTTTAAGATGATCTGAGATGGTAATGTCAGACCCATTTCGAAAAACTTTCAAAATACTCTAAAGATCAAAACGAGTACATGCACGAAGACTGTGCCAATACTTATCAATAATAATATAATACCTAATAATGTAGTATTATTGATGTGTTTAGCCCAAGTGATTACAAGTGGAGTCCTGTAGCTCAGTGGTTAGAGCACTCGCTTTGCAAGTGAGAGACCTAAGTTCAATTCCCGGCAGAGGGCGAAACCTCGGGCAAGTTTCCTTACTCCACACAGAGCCTAATAATAATCCTCCAAAACCAAAAACAATAATAAATTGGTCATTTTCAATCCACGACTGTTTGTGGGACATTGCTGTGCGCAATTGGCTGCCGCGTTCGCCCACAAATATACAGTCAATTCACTTTACAGTGTGTTCTGTGAAGCGCTTTGGGACGTCCTCCCGACGTGAAAAGCGCTATATCAAATGCGAGGATTATTATTATTAATACAACCTAAGAGATTAGGAACTAGAAAAAATTAGGGAATATATCAATCTACTAATTGAATGCAGATGTGTGGGACAATGTAAAATAAATATAGTTCTTATAATCGTCGGTGCAACTTGGAGCACTAATAAGACTATTCAAAAATAGCTCAACACAGCACCTGATGAACAAAATATCAGCAACGCTGCAAAAGGGAGTTAATTTAGGAAGTTGAAACATCAAACAAAAGTAACATCAATGGCAGTGTTATTGGTCTGGCCGACCATCACTGAAAACCATTTAGAAATGACCATGAAGTGCTTTGTCAGGCTGTTCAGCACTCCGAACGCTATCCTGTGGGAAGGGCGCTGTTTAATGCAATTTGTTGTTGTTGTGATTATTTGTTGGTGAACACAGCAGGAAAGTTATTGCTCGTGATCTTGCTGATTAATAAAGATAATATGGACAGTTATGATTTAGTTACAAATACTGTTTTGGAATATTTTAGATTGACACCAGAATCATATTGTAAATGCTGTAAATGCAGAAAGTACACATTTGGTTGGGATGAAAAGCAGATCTATTTTCTCTCGGATGAGCCGTGTTGTTGCCGACAGGAACACACCGATCACTGAGGTTTCATGGCCAAATCACTTGATGGCCTGAGACCTCTCCAACTTGCTCACACCTCACACCTCTTCCCAGCCCTTTCGCTTGGTTTGCTCAGGCCTTGTGCACATCCCCTGACCCTCTGCTCCACCTTCAGCCACTTTGCCCTGAGCCCCTGGAACTCCCGGCCTCACCCTCTCCGCCCCTTGTTCCTCTTTCCTCTTTACACCAAGCGCTCCGGGACGCTTCCCCACGTGAGGAGCGCTGTATCAATGCAAGTTGTTGTTGTTGTTAATCGTCTTCAAATCCCACCTGAAGGCTTTCCTCTTTGACGGTGCCTACGGTCCACTCCCCTTTCTCCCCGTCTCAGCCCAAACTCTGCCAACGCTGAGACACTGCCCCACAGGAAAGTCTCTGTATAAATGCAAGTTGTTGTTGCTGATGTTTTAAGTGATTGGAGTTTCCAACAAACTGTTGTATTTTACACAGAATGTGATGCACAGAATGTAAATACTCTCCTGTGTTTTGACAGAATCTGTTTCCAATATTGCTGTTACCCCAATGTCACGCAGTCAGTAGAATATAATGACACTGTGGGGCTGACGTGCACTGCATCAGGGACAGACGTGTCATATCAATGGTTGAAAGACAATAAAACTATCAGCTCTGACAACAGGACTGTCCTAAGTCTGGATAACAAACCCCTGACTATAGCTGGAGTACTGAGGGCTGACAGTGGGAATTACACGCACTGGGCCTACAACACCGTTAGTAACGACACAAGCCATCCATTTTATCTCAATGTCAACTGTAAGTGTCACAGTAAAAGCAGCTTCAATGTTATATTTTTGTAAATGATTTTTATAATCTTAGTTAATGTTATGCAATATTTGTTTCCGCAAACATTATACGCTCCGTATCCATTTTGGACACCAAATAATCAATTCCTTTAACAAACACTGAATTTGATCAGATTTAACAAAAATTTATAAAAGCACCAAAATGTAAAAGAATATCCAGCATTAAACTCTGAAATGAAACTATTTTTATTACGAATTTCAATCTAAACCATTATAAAAGTATTAGATTTGAATTCTGTTTGAATCACTACAAACTTTCATTTGTACCAACAGGTGAAAGCACTGGTCCACTCCTGAAATAAATACCATAATAATTGAATTGATGAACAATGAAAAAAGTCCTACTAAATTGGTACTCAATTAAAATATAGGAGTAGAAATCCCCCCTTGGGTCTGGACTTGTCTATTGTAATATTATTTCACAGCAAATAGAATTAAATTCTTAAATTGTGTCCATTGAACTACAGAAACTGGGAAAGTTTCTGCTGGCTCTGAAATGCTAAATAATACCTCAGTGGAATTTCAGGGGACAGAATTGATTTTATATATTAAACAACTATTATTATTATTACACATTATAACAGACAGGTTTTATTAATAACTGTCTCCTTTTGTTTGCACAGTTTTGGTGTTCAGGCTCATCGTGACCTTTAGTGCTGGTGATGGGCTGTACGTTAGATAGTTTTAGACTTGTGATTTATATGATGTTACAAATGATGTGCATTTGTTCGAGATGGACCAGGATTACCCAATGTGTCCATCATCCCGGATAAAACATTGTACAGTTCAGGAACAACTGTTAAGTTCTTGTGCTCCGCGGACTCAAATCCAGCCTCTGAATTTCAGTGGTTTCACAATGGTGCCTCTCTTCAACAAAACGGTCAAC